AGAAATAAATTATTTGCATCTGTCTCTGTGTGACAGATATTTTTACCTCACTTAATACTCACAAATATCATACAGTATAGTTATTTCTATTTTCTCCCTTTTTACAAAGGAACTCAAGCTAAAAGTAACAGCTTCTCTGGGCCTAGAGAAACAGTAAATGCCAAAGTCAGGGTTTGAACCCATATCTGTTTGACTCTGCTCCTTCCCCTATTGCACTATTTACCTATAACAGTCATTTCATATACAAAACAAAAATTTGAAATCACCCACTTGTCTTTTTTTTTTCTTCCGAGAGGAGTCTCACTCTGTTGCCCTGGCTACAGTGCAATGGTGCAATCACAGCTCACTGCAACCTCCAACTCCTGGGCTCCAGTGATCCTCCTGTCTCAGCCTCCCAAGTAGCTGAAACTACAGGCATGCACCACCACGCCCTGCTAATTTTCCTATTTTTAGCAGAGATGGGCTGGTCTCAAACTCCTAATCTCAAGCAATCCTCCCACCTTGGTCTCCCAGAGGGCTGGGTGGTGCCCAGCCATCACTTGTCTTTTAAAAAGTGAAAAAAAACAACAAAAATAAAAGTAAGGAAGAGAAAAATATTATGTATTTTTTTTGTTTGGACTAGTTCCACTTTTATTCCTAAAAATGATCAATATTATAAATCTGCCAGTACAACACATAATGACTTTTAGAACACATCTTTCTCTGGATACTCTTTAAGAACAAAACACAGGACAGAAGTTGATTGTATGAACATGGAAGGAGACAAGTAAAAGGCCAAAGCTACTATAGGCCCTGTCAGGCTGGGCGCTGTGGGTGATTGTAGTCCTATCTACTAGGGAGGCTCGCCCAAGCGAGTTCGAGGCCGGCCTGAGCAACATAGGGGTACCACCCCACCCCCATCTCAAAAAAAAAAAAATATATATACACACACACACACACACACACACACACAAGCCCTATCCTGGAGGAGGAGGAAATTATTTTGTAAGTTCTGAGTCAAAAACTTTTGTTGGTCACGTAGTTTCACAGCGATTCTTCGGGTGTTTTGCGCCACCACTGATAGCCTCTCATTTCCAGATATCTTGTTTTCCTTCTCTCCCAAGAATTCCCCAGATTGTCCATTAAGCCATTCTCTTCACAGTATCACCGCAGCTAACCACATATCTGTCACTCTAGCCCCCAAATTAATAACCGTATCACATCTTAAAGCAAAAGCAAAAAAAAGTAACACGATTTTAGAGTTGGGAGGTGTTTTATATTCTGAGTAAATCTGGGCGCAGAGACTCTTCTTATTGTATGAGAAGGAGGAAATGAGGCTCGGAGAGAGGAAATGACCTGCCCGAGGACAAAGCGTGAGGTGGCAGCAGGGCCAAAGGCTGAAGCTTGACCTCAGTACACCGCTCCGCAGGCTGGCCCTGCGCTACAGCCCGCGGCGAACAGGGCCGGACAGAGCTAGCTGCAGCTCACATGACGCCTAAAATAACACCCTTCCCACCGCGCGCCTTTCTAGGGTAAAGACCGGTTCGTAGTTTAGAGGACTGGGGGAAAGGCGCAGAGAGGAGAAACCCCTTCAAGCTACTGTGGGACACGCACACGGCCTCTAGCCCAAATCCACGCTCCTGCAGCCTTCACCCACCACGCAATCAGCGACACACTGACCTCTGCGCGCTGGGGGCCTCCGGAGGCTGCACCTCCCGGGATCCCTCTCCCCGGCCATTCCTGAGACGAATCTGGTCCCCAACGTATAAGAAAACAGGGGGCGCAGGAACAAAGCGACCCCAAGTGGTCCCCAGAAGCGGCGAACGCGGACTACGAGTCCCGGCATGCCGCGCGCCGGCGGACCCTCGGCACTGCCACGCAGGCGGCGCGGTGGCCGCCGGCACTCGTAGTCCACAGTTGCGCGCCTCCGGGGGCGCGGACGGCCAGGCGCGACGGGACAGGCCGGCCCGCGCCCCGTCAAGCCCCAGGAAACCCGCCGGCTGCCCCAGCCTCACCTCAACGATGCGGGCGCACTGAGTCCCCTTGCCGGCGCCAGGGCCGCCGAGGACAAACACGACCAGCGGCTTCATGAGGAGGGGAGGGCAGAGGAGAAGCGGCCGGCGGCTCGGCAGCGGGAAGCTAAGGCCCAGGACGTGTAGCAGCCGGCTACCGCAGCGACTAACCATACACCGCGTCTCGGCCGGACGCTGAGTGAGCTGACAGCGGCCGGCGAGGCGGAGGCGCGAAGCGGGGCGGGGCGGAGGGGCGGGCCGAGCTGGCGCCCGCCGCGGCCCAGCTGCCGAAGCTGCCCGGCACCCGCGCCGCGGCCGGAAGGGGAGGAGCCTCCCGCTGCTCGCTTGGTGGTACCCTGTTCCAGTCCCTATCCGTTTTCCTTTCCATCCCTTCTTAGCTGGTCCGTTGGTGCTTCCAGACCTCGGGTGTCCTACCCTGCGTCTCCGAGTATCTGGTGCTGTGCTGGACGCTGGGACGTGATAACCTGAGAGAACAAATCCCACTGACTCTGCTCTCAAGGAGTTGCAATTCCGGGGGGGGAGGGGGAGTGAGGGGGGGCAGCCGACCTGAATAAGTAAATACACCTATGAATAAATGTAAACAGCCGTGCGGTTTTGAAGGAAACAAACAAGAGAATAACGAGAAGGTTATAACTTGGTTAATGTAGTCAGAGAAGTCTTTAGAAGAAGTGACATTTGACACAAGACGTAGGCAAAGGAAAGAACACAACCAGGCAAAGGCTGGGATAGAGTGTCCGTCCCACAAAGACAGAAAAGTATGTGTAAAACCTTAAAATGGACCAGGTGCAGTGGCTCACGCCTGTGATCCCAGCACTTCGGGAGGCTGAGGCGGGAGGATCACTTGAGGTCAGGAGTTGGAGACCAGCCTGAGCAACAGCGAAACTCCCGTCTCTACAAAAAAATAGAAAAAAATTAGCCAGGCGTGGTGGCACGCACCTGTAGTCCCAGCTACCTGGGAGGCTGAGGCAGGAGGATCCTTTCGGCCCAGCAGTTTGAGGTTGCAGTGAGCTATGATGACGCCAAGGCACTGTAGCCCAGGTGACAGAGTGAGAGACTGTCTCAAAAAAACAAAACAAAAATCCTAAAATTGCTAGGCAAGTTAGAACAATTGAAAGAAGACCAATGGGACCAGGCCTGGATGAAATGAGGGGAGAATGGAAGGTGAAGAGTTGGGAGAGTTCGGCTGGTCGCAGGCAGTTCATTCAGGCCTTTTGGTTATGGAAAGGAATTTGGATTATATTGTAATTGCACCGGGAAGCCCTTTAACTGTAACTCCATTTCCCTGCCCCCTTCACTAGAGAAAAATCTTAAGGGAAAAGAAAAGGAGTACTGAGCCTTGGTGAACACAGACCTTTGAAAGTTGGATAGACGAGGAGCAGCCTGAGAAGGAACAGCCAAAAAAGCAGGAGGAAAACCAGGAGAATGTGGTGTCCCAGCAAAGAGAGGAGTTCAATCAAAGCCCAAAAGAAGGCTTCAAACCCTCCAGCTTCTGGGGAGGAAAAGCTAGGACATAGGCAGTCAAGAACAAGGACAATTGGTCATATTAGGAAGAGGAAGCTGGAGAATGAAAAAGGCCATATCAAAGCAAATCTGCCACTTTTTCCTTTGTGTGCATTCTCTTAAGTGGCTTTTCTGTATGTCTTCTGGCAATTAGAATCGAAAGATCTTAAGGGTATGGTGTCTGTGGGGAAAAGGCATAGGAAGCTACTGGCATGCTTTTAGTGAAGGCTTTAAGCCAGAAACAAAAAGACAGTGTTTGTTGCTCCCAGGACAGAGCACCAGACGATGGATTCCACATAGGCGTGTGGGTCTAAAACTTCTTTGTATACCTACCTACAGCAATCTGTAGTGACTTTTCTTCATCTCCCTGGATAATTATGACCACATAGGTTGAGTACTTAATGTTGTGCACCTTGCCCTCTCATTCCACCAACATGCTAGGCAACTGAGGAAAATATTAATGTGGACAGATGTAAAAAAGTGAAACCGACATACTCATCTCTGCTAAGTGTTTTCCAAGGAGTCATTTCCAGGAAGGACAAGGCTAGGTAAAAGAATCCTTTATTACTATTTGGCTCTTTGAGCCTGTTCTGGTTATCTGTTGTTACCTAACAAACCACCCCCAAAACTTAATGGCTTAAAACAATAAGGAACATTTATTTTGTTATGACCTACAGTTTAGGCTGGGCTCAGTGGTGTGAACTAAAATAAAATTTTAAGGCTCACCCCCCCCCCCCACCGGCTGACTAAATGG